GCTGTGCCGCTGAGCTAAATCCCCAGCCCCTCTATTCTTTTTTTCATGGCAGCTATCAACTTCTGGTATATCGTCTAATTTATTTCCCTTGTTAATTGTCTCCATCACCCAAACTAAAATTTAAAGACTTATTGCTTGCTTTGTGCCAACCAAACATACTTTTTATTTTAGCTGTTTCTTATGGTAACTGCCTCCATATTTCTAAAGCACCTTCTTAAACAGATACTCTTTTCCCCCTAGTTTTAGATACTATTTACTATATAGCTAGGCTTAGTGGTGGATGCCTATAATCCCAGCACTCGGGAGGCTGAGGCAGGAGGATTGTTGCATGTTCAAGGCCCGCCTGGGCTACATAATAAGTCAAAGCCAGCTTGAACTATATAGGAAGAGCTCGTCTCAAAAATAATAATAATAATAATAATAATAGATATTATTTACTCATAAGTGTGTAGTGATATGGATTTCACTTCCTTTAATATCACCTATTCCACACATGTCTTCATTCTTTTCTCCTGATTTATTGCTGTCATTCATTGTGGTTAAATCAATATTCAATATTACATCAGTGTGGCCAGGTAAGTATTATATTATTTGCCATGTGATTAAATTTGTTCTTTCTCAACTTTTTGTTTTCTCTGATGTTAATATTTGCTTATTTTTTTATTTGCTTCACTTTCTATGTATCTTGATATCACTAAATCATCTCTTAAAAATTCTACCAGATCTGAAAATTCCACCTCAGTACAGTTAAATACATTCTATCCATTTCATTCTGGGGGCATGTTATTTCCTACACCTGATGAGTAGCTGTCATTCTGGGAATTTTGTCCACTCTTGACCCCAGGGCTGGAGTTGGGCTTCCCAAATCTCAGGTCAGGTCTTCCTCTTCTTTTTTTTTTTTTTTTTAAAACAGGGTCTTAAAAAGTAGTTTCTTGAGAAAGAAAGCATAGTCACAAATTTTTTAGACCTTATATATCTGAAAATGGTAGCTTAGATGACTATGAAATCTGTAACTTTTCAATTGTTATCATAAAAATAAAATTTAGAGAACTAATATGATTAATCTCTATGTACTCATCCCTCAAATACAATAATAATCAAGTTTTCCACATTTGCCTCATCTATTCCTTTGTTCTATTCTCTTGTTTTCCTGAAATATTTTAAAGCAAAGTCAAAATATCCTGTTGCTTCACACATCATTCTTTAAGACTCATGTTTAACATGTGTTCTTCTTCTTAATTACAATGCCTTCATCACCCACAGTGATGTTAGCAATCGTTCTGCTCTGCCGTCTTTTGGGGGCTCCCATTTACCATCCTTGCCCATTACTGCCCCAGCTGCTTTTTCCTCTCTTGCCTTCTCCTGGATTGAGCGAGTTTCTTGTCTTCTGTTCTACTGACTTGGCAATTTTAGGAGTTACGCATGAAATTTTAATATGAAAATTTGACTTAATAAGGTCTAAAACGATCATTACCTTTACCTTTCTTACAAACATATATGGTTTTGAAAACAGATTAACTCTGATTCCCTCATCCCATCTTATATGAAATGTTGCCATAACGTTTTCCTTTTTGTTCTTTCATCACTCCTCTTTAATCATTAATATTGTTAGCTTGTTATGCAACTCGTACCTGTTTGTACATACTCACAAGTTTACCCTTCTTTTTGTTCACATTCTTCCTTAGATCCCAAGCTTTCTTTCTTGCTACAATACATCTTTTAGTTCTTTCAGCACGAACTTCTAAATAGTAAATCTAGCTGCCTATAAATCCGCTTTCCCTTTATGGTCTCGAATAATGGCTTACCCACATATATCTAAACATCCTGGAGGCCAGTGTTGCTCTTGGTTGTCATTTACTTTTCTTCAAGGTGGGTTTCTCCCTTGTCTGTATTTTTGGGTTGTGAGTTTCTGTTTGTTTGTATTCTGCCTGTGAAAATCCTGTATGACCTATTTTGAGGCTGTGTACCCTCTGGAAGAATTTTGTGATCCAATTTTTTATGTGGATTTTTCCGCTTGAGGATATCTAGACCATGCAGGTAATGTGAATCTGAACCCCAAACACAAGAGTGGCATGGCCTGTGAGTTTGAGTTTTTAGAGGCACAAATTTTTATTTTCTATACTCACTTCTTGCCACTTTTCCCTTGTAATGAGCTGATCCTTTTCTCTCACCCACCATAATTTTTCCTGTAAGGCTTGCAGCATTACACAGGGCAAGAGCAATCTTCTAATTCTCTATCTTGTGTGGATGGAATTTTCTCTCACCCAAGCCCCTAATTATAATATTGACTCCACATCTATCCTGTAACCAAAGTGTCAGATCATGGGCTTAATCAGTGTCTCAATCCAGTTTTGCTGTTGTAACAGAATCCTGAACAGAAATTTATATGGAACAGAAATTCATTTCTCACATTTCTGGAGACAGAAAGTCCAAGCTCATGTGTCAACCTTTGGTGTCTGTTGAGGGTCTTGCTGCATTCTCCCATAGCAGAGGGGGAAAGGACCAACAGGCCAAATGCTTCACAGATCCTTCTTTATAAATCCGTATTCCCAGCCAGGTAGGCTGAGGCAGAGAGACCAGCATGGACAATATAGGGACCTTGTGAGATCCTGTCTCAAATTTAAACCCTTAAAAAGAGCTGGAAATGTAGTTTAATTGAAAGCCCTGGGTTCAATGCTCTGCCAAAAAAAAAAAAAAAGAAACCTTACTCCCAAGAATAAAGAAGGAACCCTAATAACCTCTTAAAGGCCTCTTGAAGGCCCCACCTTTTAACACTATCACATTGGCACACCAAAAATTTGGGTAGAACACATTCAAACTGTAGCATTATCAGACCTTTATTCCTAGAACTCAAGAATTTTCTTCCTTGCCATCAGCTCTGATCTTGAATGTGTTATACTCTATTCATCATTTCTTTTTTTTTTTTTTTTTGGTTTTTCTCCGGTACTGGGAACCGAACTCACGACCTTGCGCTTGCCAGGCAGGCGCTTTTGCCGCTGAGCTAAATCCCCAGCCCCTCTATTCATCATTTCTAAGTATTTGTGGTGGGATGTTTTCAGGTTATCTAGTCAAGTGTGCCTTCCAGTGGTTAAAACTGAAGTCATTTTGTTTTCATTTGTTGTATTACAATTGCAGGATGACTGTTCTGCAGCCTCAGAGCCTCTGAAAAGACTGCTTAGATCCTTTCCAAGTCGGGCTGGTGGAGATCAGACTTCCACAGCAGAGAAAGATGTCCATTCAAAGACAAGAAATATAAACAGATTTTCTCTCCCTTCTGAGAGTTCAACAAAGCAAACACCAAGAGACACAGACGGAATCGTGGATCTACCTTCAGATTCCGAGCTCACCTCTAGGACTGCCTCTTCAGCAAAGAATGAGGCAGGCTACAACATTCTGAGGACATGTTCTCAGTGTGGTATCCTGCTTCCCCTGCCCATCCTAAGTCAGCATCAGGTACCCTGTCTTTGTTCCATCCCCACCTGACTGTGAACCAGCGGGGCAGTATCTTAAAGGATCGAATATCTGCAGGATGTTTGCCTGTGTTGCATCTGGGGAGGCCTTCCCTGTTTCCCCCTTCCCTGTATGTCCAAGTGCACCCTCTCATAGCACCCGACACCTGCTTTTTCTGTCACCTTTCAAGACTGGGTCGCTTTGAAGGTAGAGCCAGATCTTTCATTTCTGTGTCTCCAGCTCCCTGCCCCAGGGCTGACACACAGCAAGTGCTCCAAAACTGTAGAGTAAATGAATGAAGCCAATGGCCCGTTTATCTCCCTCAAGGTGTGCTTAAAGCAACAGAGGCCCTAAAATTGCCATGCCTGACAATTTTTCAGAAAGCAGAACGGTCTTGCTTCCGATACTAAGTTAGGTGGTAGCTAGCCTCCAGCAGATCAAGGCTACTGCCATGTTCCTCAATATCCTGATTTTTTCCATCCTCGATTATTTTCTTATAATAATAAAAACTGGCCTTAGAGGTAGTTAACAGTTGTATGCCAAGTGCAATGCAGAGCTCTTGATAAATGTTAAATCTTCGTTATAAACAATAGACAGCTGTTTTATCCTCATTTTACAGATAAGAAAATTAGACAAAAAGTCTATAGAGTGCCTTCCCCAGGATGGTACAGTGAGAGTGGGAGAATCCAGTCTAGACTCCACACGTATAGCTCCAAAGCTTTTGTTCTTAAACTCTGGCCTAGATGCCTTGCTAATTTGATATTTTTTAAAAATACTAAAGTATTAGATTTTGCCAGGCATCGTGGCGCATGCCTGTAATCCCAACACTCAGGAGGCTGAGTCAGGAGGACTGTTGTGAGTTCAAGGTCAGCCTGGGCTACAATGTGAGCACAAGGCCATCCTGAACTGCATAGCAAGACCTTGTCTCAAAAGACAAAATAAATACATAAATAAAGTATTAGATTTTGTTGTAAATAATAAAAAAGATACATTGTCACTAGAAGAATAAAAGCAAAGCTAGTTATTCCCCATACCTATCCCACTTCCCCGATACCCTGAGATACCAATTTCAGCAGCCTTGTGGGTGTCCTTCCAAAACTTTATTTCATTCACATGAACTAACAAATTGCTTGAATTGCTTCTTTTTCCCTACGTATTACGTTAATGTGCTCATTATCATTCACTTTCATTTAATATATGGTAGGCCTAGTGTCAGGTAGGCCAAAGTATTTTTAAAAATTTCTTTATGCATCTATATGTGTATATGTGTGTGTGTGTATAATATATATATAATGTGTGTATATATATATACATGAGCATATAATCTTACAAAAATGGACTAATTTTTTCTTGCTAGGTGATTTTCACCTCTCTCACCACTAGTGTGTTTCTTTTTGCAGTGTTTTCCCACCTTCATATAATAAAGTTGTCAGATTTAGCAAATGAAAGTACTGGTTACCTAGACAAGTTTGAATTTCAGAAAAACAAGAGAATTTATTAGTATTAGTGTTAGGATTAGGATTAGGCAGTACTGTGGCATTACACTAGGGGCCAGGGGGTTGGGGGAGATGCTCTGCCACTGGGCTACTACATCCTTAGCCATTTCTATTTTTTATTTTGAGACAGAGTCTCACCAAGTTTCCCTGGCTGGCCTTGAACTTGTGATCCTTCTGCCTCAGCTTCCCAAACAGCTGAAATTTCGAGCAGCCACTGCCATGCCTGACAATTTTTTAAAAGTATAACTGTGTCCCATGCAAGATTCTTTCTCTAACATTGAAATTTAAATCAGCACCCTGTATTTTATTTGGCGACCTTATTATCAAACATATGCGAACGTGCATATTTGGAGTACTCTTGTACACATTTCTTTACATCATAGTGTTATCACTTAGCCATAGATAGCCAGGTGAACAGGGTGGCTCATTGTCTCTTGTTCTTCCACCCCCCTTTGATGTGGGCAGCTGTGAAAGAGCACCCAAAGCCTCCTGCCCCTCTCCGGGGACGATGGGCTCTGTGCTGCTTCTGTGCGCCCACCCCAGTCTCCACGCACCTATAGCTTAGGGCTCTCGCTGGACAGCAGGCAGCAGGACTATTTCAGAAGCTAGCACCTCCCCCTCAAAACATACTGAACTTTTTATTTCCCTTTCTTTAGGTAAAATGCAGACAATTAGCTTCCTCAAAAGGAAAGCAAGTGAGAAAATCCAGCTAGCTTTGGAAGGAAGAGTTCCTATGAATTTAGAAGATTTCCTGTTTGCACCAGCTTTCCTGCTTCCTGTCTGTGGTGGTCGCTACTTGTGAAGAGCAATGAGTTTTAATCCTTCCTATTTAGGAGAAAAAGTTTGCACTTTAACTACGTTCCTTCTTTTGAACAAAGACATTGGTTTCCCACGGGCTTCAGGTAATCAGGAGAGAAAAAGCTTCCAGGTCTTCCGGCTGGGCGTTCTGATTAAACGTCTAGGATCCGAAGCTGCGGTGCCTAAGAGACCCCAGCATTGTCCCTGAAGAATAAAAACACCTTCCTTGAAAGCTTCTTGTTCTCCTTCTGGGGTTCCTCACCTGTTCTCCAGGGTAAGGGGTGGCAGGAGGCGGGACATCAGGAAGAGAGGCGTGCAGCAGAAAAGGAAGGAGAAACCCAAGGGGGAGAAATGAGGAAGTGGTGGTGACGCGCACAAGGCAGCTTGGAAGGCCTCGGGAGGGAAGCGGGCTGAGGAAGCCTGAAGATGCTGTCTGCCTGTAGGTTGACCGAGCTCTTACTTTTCTACCCAGGGCTTGGGAAGACCACTTAGGACCCCAGCTCCTGCCAAGGCAGGGAAAGGCCAAGGAAGTGGGTAAGCTAGATGCGCTCCGCCCTCTCTAAAGGGAAAAGGAAAACTTTCCTCAAGCTGTTAGGCCCCTGTCAGGTTTGCTTAGGGTTTCCTCAGATACTCAGGAGAGAAAAGCAGAGGCTTGGGGCAGAGTGCAGGGCGGTGACTTCCTACAGAGACACACACGCGCTGGGCCTCCGAGGCTCCACTGGACCCAGGAGCTGGTCCGGACTCGAAAGGTGGCAGACTGGCGGACTGAGCGGAACTTCCTCCCTGCATGCAGAGGGGAGGCCCGGCGCGTGCCCGAGCCGCCCCGGGGCGCGGCGCCCTCCAGGACACTGCCAAGGCCCATGGCTACTCCCGGGTTGGGCTCCTGGGATTGTGGGGCTGAGCAGAGCTCAGGGGACAGCGAGGCGTCACAAAGACTGCAGTGCTGAGCATTTAGCTGAGCAGCGGAGCGAGGACAGGCGGCCCCGGTGCTTGCAGAGTTGGCGTCAGAGCAGCAGCGGCGCCGGCGGAGTGGCAGGCGCGCTTGCCATCCCTGCAGCCCAGACGGGGCGCAGCCTGAGTGCGCGAGAGAGCGAGCGAGCGGAGCCCAGCAAGCAGGTAACTGGTGAGCAAGGGCGGCCAGCACCGGGCGCGCCAGAGGTGGGTGGCGATGGGACACCAGGCGGCCCTCTCCTCCGAGAAGTGCGTTTTGGCTACGGGGTTCCCTGGCCACCTCCGCGCTGCTTGGGCGATGGGACATCCTTAGGTTTTCTTCCCTAGTTGGCAGCTATGTGATAGGGTGGACCAAGCCTTCGCTTGAGAGTCCTAGGCTGGGTTCAAATTCCACCTCCCACTGAGCACAGTAGCACACCTCTATAATCCCAGCATCCCGGATGCTGAGGCAGGAGGATCACCATGAGTTCGAGGCCAGCCTGGGCTACATAGTGGGTTCAAGGCCAGCCTGCACTGCGTAACAAGACTCTGTCTCTAAGTAAATAAATAAATAAAATAAATAAATAAATAAATAGAAATAAAATAAATACCCCACCTCCCCATTTACTACATGGCCTCATTAAAAAAACTGTATTAACCTTCTAAAAGCTCCACTTCCCCATGTGTGAAATGGGTATATTCACATCTTTCTGGCTGGCACCGCACAGAAGTACTTTGGCCCGGCGTTACAAAGGGCAGCAGGCCCTTGTACAGCGTTTCCTATGCTCTAGGCACTTTTCTGGGCTTTCCCTATCCCAAGCCGAGTCTTCCCAACTAAGCTACACTGCCTCTCGCTGGTGACAGGGGGTTTGGAGGAACTTGGTACAGTATACATGATTTGGGGCCTCCTTGAAAAAACTTTTCTAGCCCATCACAAGTTCCTCCAGCCCACCCTTCCTGCTTACAAGTCTGATGATTCTCACCTGTGACTTTGACCTTACCTGTGATTTTTAGTTTAGCTTTTTCTTTTGCTTCTTAATGCTGCGGTTGGAATCCAGGGCTTTACACATGCTAGCAAGTGCTCAGCCACTGAGCTGCACAGCGGCCCTTAGTTTTTCTGGTGCATCTTTATACACTTTCATCCATGCTGTGCATAGCGGAGGCCTCCGGGCTTGAGCCCTTTACAAGTGAGACAAGAAACATCCCAATTTTCTCATTTGTTAAATGTTTAAGTGCCTACTCAATAATGAGGATGGCATGAGCCCGACAGTGTGTCCTTCTGAAAGACAAGAACACAAATAATATGCAGGATGCCCACTGGCCGGAAGAGATGGGGAAGAGGACAGGCTGAATGTGGAAGTGGGGACTGCGAACTGCCCGGACGCTTGAGTCAGGGCAGGCTGCTTTTCTGTCCCTTACAGAAAGCCGTCCAGCTCAGGGGTGGGAGGGCCAGCTGGAAGCAGGACCCACATTGCTCAGTGGGCTGTGAGGGAACAAGGAGGAGAATGGGAATAAGGCCCCGAGCAAGGCCCACACAAACACTCGCCTGAGGGTGCTCACTGCCACTGTGATGTTGGCAGGAGCTGGAGGAGGCCTAGGGCTGTCACAGCAGAGAAAGGGAAGGAAAAGGCAGGGAGACCGGGGGTCCTATTCAAGAGACACAGTGGGTGAAATACACAGTCACAGAGTTGCATCGAGACATTCAACCCACATTTGACCAACACATACAAAAGGATTTAATCAAACTCACTAATATAGCTGCCCATGGTATGTGGAAAGGGCAATGGAGTGGGACAGAAAGGTAAATAAGTAAAACTAAAAAAGTGTCTTATACAAATAATATGGATTAGGAAATATGATTAATTTGCGCCCCTGCATCTGAGGTCCGGGAAGTAAGGGTAGGAAAAAGAGTAAGAGAGAAAGAGTCAGAAAGCCCAGGTTCTAGCCCGGCCTTTGTTTCTGACTGGCTGTGTGACCACAAGTAAGAACCTTCGCCTCATGGGGCACCAGTGTGGATCTCTGAAAAGAAAGAAATCCTCAGGTCTATGTCCAGCCCTGTGATTTTATTGGCCATGATCAATAATCTTGGATTTACTTGGGAAAATATCCAGTAAAGGGTTTGGAGAGTGGTCAGGCTTCGAATTTTCAAGTGTGGGGGTTGGGCAGAAATGAAGAAACCAAGAGAAACTTTCTAGCAGAGGACACTTTGAAAGCAGAACTCTGTGAAATTGTCAGCAGATGGTTATAAAGCCTGACCGACGACTCCACATACTGAGCAAGTCTCAGCAGCCCTCCTCTGGGAGCCGTGCGCCTGGCTGGGAGGACCTCCTGCAAGACAGCAAGCGGTCTGAAACCTTTCAGTCCTCCCAGTTCTGCCTTCACAGCTACCGGTGTGTGTCCTTGGAGGAGCTCACAGACCATCCTCATTCCCACAGTCACACCGGGCTTGCTCCTGACCACTCCTCCTCCACGCCCCACCAGTGTCCTTTCTACCCCAGACTGACCACACTGTCTCCACCCAGGTAACTTTCCACTCCCGGCTCTCCATGGCTTCAGCGGAGGTTCTTCACCTTGCTTTGCTGCCTGTACCTCTTATGTGAACCCCACCATCCGCAGCGCAGCTCTAGGCATGCGTGATCCTCACCCTGGAAGCCTTGTCCGAATTCCTAAGTCTCGGGGAGGGGAAACATTGGGAATGCCTGTCCCCCTTACATAGTCTTTATCACATCACTTAGGGCTCCTTGATCCAGCCTGTCCTGCTTCATCCACTGTATTCAGCACCTCCACTCCCTACTCACTGACAAGTTCAGCCCTCCAAATGATTTTTAGTTCCCTGAATGTGAACATAGGATGTGCATTCAGAATTCTGTGGCTTTGTACATACCATAGTTCCCTCTGCCTGGAGGGTATCCATTCTCCTATAAGTACCACTAGGCCAACCTGGTCTGCCTCGCAAATCCCACTCACCTTCAAAACCCAGCTTATGGCCAGGCGTGGTGATGCACACACCATAATCCCAGCACTCAGGAGGCTGAGGCAGGAGGATCACTGTGAGTTCCAGGCCAGTCCAGACTACATAGTGAGTGCAAGGCCAGCCTTCACTACTAGACCCTGTGTCAAAAACAAACAAACAACCTAGCTTAGGTGTCACCTCCTCTGAGCACCCTCTCCACTTCCTCCTTACCAGGCAGAAGTAATCTCTACGATTTATGCCACCCTTGTGCATGACAATGCCTGGACCTTTTCTCTTTTCTCACCATACTGAAACTAAGGACTGGCACATGTTATCTGTAAAACCCTCACATGTGTGCTGTGACACGGGTGGGCTGTCGTGAACCCTGCATTACCTGCACATGGCACTGTGCCTAACGCAGGACACATAGAACTGCAGACCCAGTTTATGCAATTGCATTTAATTTCTGTTTGGTGAGTAGTAGGTCTTCCTTTTCTGTTCTCCACAGAGAACACCTGATTGCTTTTCTTTCCTCTATTTTGGAAGCCCCGCTGACCACGCAGCTGCACTGTACCTGTCAATTCTCAGATGGATGAAGGAAGCGAACTGATCCAGCCTCAAGACCAGAGCTTCTGGGCCACTCTTCCTGATGTGTGCCTGCGCCGTATTTTCTGGTGGCTGGGAGACAGAGACAGATCCAGGGCGGCCCTGGTCTGCAGAAAGTGGAACCAGATGATGTATTCAGCTGATCTCTGGCGATACAGGGCCATCACCTTCAGCGGGAGACCATCCAGGGTGCACGCATCGGAATTCGAGTCAGCTCTTTGGTACGTTAAGAAATTTGGTCGTTATTTGGAATGCCTGGAGATCAAATTTCTGAATCCTTACAATGCCATCTTGACCAAGAAGTTCCAGGTCACCATGCGAGGTCTTCTCTCATGCCTGGGCAGAAGTAACAACCGTCTGAGGTCGCTTTCCATCCAGCACTTGGAGCTAGATCGCCTGGTCTGGAGGAATAGCATCAGGAACTCACTTATCAAAAGCTTGAGCTTCTTCTTAAAGAAAATGGGCAAGTATCTGGACTGCCTCAGCCTGAAAGGGGCCAGGCTGACTGTGGAGCAGGGATGCCAGGTACTAAACTCCCTCAGCTACCTACGGAGTGAGAGCGCCACTTCAGATCTTAACATCGAAGATTTCTTCAGCCATCACCTGACTGTCTACAGCAGCCCCCAGTTCAACAAGACCATGGCCACATTCCGCAATCTGGCATTCCTGACACTCAACTACAACTGCATTTCTGATGAGCTGCTCGAGAACTTGGCTGAGAACAATGCCAGTACCCTCCGGACCATGAATATCAAATGTCACGTTCATGACCCCCACGGGCAGGTTGTCTGGGGTATGTCCTGGGCCAGGCTGGCCAGGCAGGCCAGCAACCTGAAGGTGAACTTCTTCTTTGAGCGGGTCATGAAATATGAGCACTTGGTCCGCATCCTCCTGCAGGAGATCCCCATGAAGAGCATAAGTCTGAGAAGCTGCTACTTCAGTGACCCAGACTGGTCCATGCGGCCCACTCTGACAGATCTCCTGCCCACCTTCCGGCACACCCTGCAGGTAAGTAGGAAGCGAGGCCCAGGAAGGCTTGCAAGCAGCAGCTGTCATCAGGTAACCTGTTTACCTGTCATCAGGTAACCTCCCAAGAGGAAAGCTTGCTAATCCCATACTGAGTGTATATGAACTGTTAGCAGACTAAGTCTCCCCCACGTCCTCAAGACCACGGCAGATGACAAAAACTACTGCTTGCTTTCTGCATGAGATGTAAAGAATGTTCTGGTTGGTAGCCAACCAAGAAAGGCCCCCTCCCTATAGCTCAGAGGTGCGAAGCAGGTGACCTTTTCTCCACAAGGTCACAGCAGCACACAGGCGATTGTGTAGCTCCTATGGTCAGCTCTAAGCAAGGGACCCATCTGGTTCCAGCAGTGCCTGGTAACTGGGATGACAGAATGAGAAGAGCCAGACCAGACAGAAAGTCAAGACTGACTTTCCCTGAAGAGCTCAGAGGCCCTGGCGTGTGCCGTACTGAGGTAGTCTCACCTCCTATAAGACCGCAGGACCTCGTTGTCATGACCACAATTGACATTGATAGGAATAAATACCAGTAATTGCTAATATGGGTGGGCTACAGGATGCTCACAGCTTATTTGTATTCCTATAACTCTGAGGCAGGCAGGATGGAGGACCTCAGGGCTACAGGAGAACCTGAAGTTTGGTGGCCGGCCCACCACGGCAGCCTCTCCACTTCAGGGTTGAGACCAGCACCACAGTCTCTGGATTCCAAATATTCTGCTTCCAAGTTCCAGTTTTTGCAAAACTTGCATGACCTCAGTCATAGTGGTCCACATTTGTGCATTTTAGACCTTTGTTAAAATTCATACTTAATTGGGCCTTTTCAATGTTCAATGTACTTTCACAGTCAGTGTCTCACCTGACTCTCCTACAGAGCTGTTTGGCAGACGTGCTTGGCATTTCACTAGCATTCAGGTCCCATCTTTGAGGACTAAATATCTAGTGTTCCTTATCTAAAAAGCTCCTAAACCACCACAGGGATAGGCCCAAAGCTCAGCCTTCAAGATGTTACAGAATGACCCAGCCAGTCCCTGCCCACACACAGCTTCCCCTTTGGTGCTTTTCCAGAAATTAACTTTTGAGTTCAACAACAACCACGAGTCACTCGATGAAGAGCTGCACCTCCTCATCCTCTCCTGCAGGAAGCTGTTTTACTTCAAAATCTGGGCCTTCCTTGATGTTAGGTTTGTGGAGCGGATCCTGAAGAGCCAGGAGGAGGGGCAGTGTGCCCTGCGCACACTCAAGGTAAGAGGCCCTGGCTGGTTTTGTGTGGCAGAGAGGGGCATCTGTCTGGGCACAGTGCTTCTGCTCAGGGATGCCTGATAGGTGAGCCATTACACCTGAATCTGTCCACTGGACAGGAAAGATTTCACAGAAGGGAATTTTCAGCTCCCTTAGTGCAGCCAGCCCGCCATAGCCCTGGGCCCTGCATCAGGATAAAAACAGCATCAGTGCTGTTCTTATGATTACTCCCTAAACAACTATTTATACAGCCTTCACATTGTATTAGGTATTATAAGTAACTGAGAGATGAAGTATACAGTGTCATGCCATTTTATATAAGGGACTTGAGCCTTCCTAGATTTTGGTATCCATGGAAAATCCTGGAACCAATGTCCCACAGATACCAAGAGGCAACCATAGTTGGGTTTAGGCCCTTCCTGATCCTGCCAGCCACTGTATGTGTAGATCCTTTAGATCACTGTTGGCTTCTGAATGATGTAGTCACTCTGTGTGTGTATGTGGATTGTTTCTTTATTGGCACAGGTGAGAATTTATACAAACAGATATGAAACTAGTGAAGAGGACAGGATCTTGCGGGAAATTCACAGGAAGTACAGAGACCTGATCAATTCAGGAATTAACTATTTTGTCATCACTTACCCCATGATGTAAGGAGCCTCTTCAGAAGAAGGAAGCTAGGAGCACTTTGAACCTGAAAATCCACTCCTTGGAGAACTACATTTAGGGCACTTCCACCCCATCCCTCTTTTTCTTTCTCCTCTTTGCCCAGGCTACACCAACATGAACAGCCGGGCAAAAGCTGGGACTACTGCTTATGTGAAGGTCCCAGATGACTTTAAAGTGCTATCTTTACCAACTAGCCAGGGGTGATCTCGCCTTTTGTTGTTTGGTTTTGCTTTTTGACGCCTTTGTTTAGCCGCTGAACAAAATACCCAAAGCTGCTCAAAACTCATTTCCTACTAGGGGAGCCTGACTCTTGGTCACCTATGCTCCTGAAAAGGTGTGTGACCAGCTAGTGAGCAAACAATCTACTGACCAACATCACCAGTTTAGAAATCCTTACATCCGGGCTGACCTTCATGTGAAAACCTTGTGCCACTGACATTGGCTAGGCCTGATCTCACATATCTGGAAATCCACCAGCCTGTCCTTGGCTGAAGCACGAAACTTTCCACTTTCAAAAGGAGCCTGCTCAGAATGGAACTCCCTCCCTTGGAAGGAACTCAGACCCTGACTCATCAGCCTTGGGGACTTAGCCCTCCTTCTTTGGCTTTGCTGTGTCTCTCTTAGTTTGCCATCCAGGCCACATGGTGGCCACCCTGCTGTGAACACTCAGTCCTCAGGTATGGGGTTGAAACGGAAGTGGTCAGTACACTCACATTCGTGAAGAATTTGTCATACCGTAGGGAAATGCTTCTAAGGCAACGTTCAGTAAAAAAAACAGAACATAAAGCTATCTAATATGACATCCGTCATGTAAAACATATCTAAGGATTTTTTTAAAGCAATGCAGAGGGATACCAAAAATGTTAAAAATTATTCAGAGAAGGGGTAAAATTAAGGTTGTGGTTTTTATTGCTTTTTTATGTCTTTCCATATTTGCCAACTTTTTTTTTTACAATAATCAGATATTATTTTTATGACTAGGAAAAATCTCATATGTTTAAAATAAGGAGTAATTATAAATCCCTGGTGTCATACACATATATTGAAGATTTTTGTGCACATAATTCCATATTATCCTCTTTTCAACAGATATAAATAAAATATCAAAATACTTTAATAAATGACTCACTTTAGATGTTGTGTCTTGTGTACTGGATGTGTCCATATTTGTGCATTTTAGACCCTTGTTAAAATTCATATTTAACTAGACCTTTTCGATGTTCAGTGCACTTTCGCAGTCAGTGTCTCACCTGACTCTCCTACAGAGCTGTGTGGCAGACTGTTTGGCATTTCACTAACATTCAGACAAGATTTGACCGATGAAGGGATGGAGGCTCCCACCTGTAGGGAGCTCCCAGATCTGACGGGAAAAGACATCATAAAGTGCCATAATGTCTGGAACAGAAAAGGCCCTAGGGAGCAGTCTATTGCTGTGGGGACCAAAGGAGGTGACTTACCTTGTGCCTGAGGGGAGCCTTATTGCGGTTGATTGGTATAATGATTTTTTCATGTGTGGACCAGTTAGTTCCTTTCATCCCAAACACAGAATCTAAGTATGTGTAACTCTAGTATGGAAAGCATGTTAATATAAATTTAAGAATGGATTTATCTTACAGTTTTGCAAATGTCTGTCATATCTGGCGTAGAAGTAGACAGCTGAGTTCCCATCCCTGCCTCTGCACTCAATCTGCTGGGATATCACACATCAGGGAGCCTCTGGAAAACTCCGGAGAGAATGGGAGTGAAAGAAGACATGTGACATTTGGGTGTGATTGTTTAAATAGTTCTGACCTCATGTACCCTTTGAAAGAAGGGTCTCTGGGACCCTCGGAGATCCCCTGACCACACAGTGAACTACCACAAAGATGGTTTGATTCCCCTGAGGGAACAAGAGAATCGTAGCAGGAAACTGCAGAACACAAGAGTCTGCAAAAGCATCTATCTTTAAACAAGTATCATCTTTATTATTATTATAGGGTGGGTATTTTTTGGTACCGGGAATTGAACTCAGAATCTTGCACTTGCCAAGCAGGTGCTTGTGCCGCTGAGCTATATCCCCGGCCCTATTTTATTATTATTACGACTACATTCAAAGGCTCAGTAATGGATAGTTACAGCCAACAGACTTGTGACCTTTTTATCCCCTCCTGGGTGACAGCTCTTATGCATGCCTGCCCTCCTTCTCCAAGACGAGCAGGAGGCAGGGTCTCCAAAACCTATCACCAGGCTAAAGGTCTGCAAAGACCACTGGTTCTTTGAAGAAATACAGATGAGGACTGCAGTGTGTCCCTGTCCTGAGTTTATGAGCAGAGATGCATTGTAACTGCTTGGAGCTTCCTCTCAGGTGCTGGCCATGGCTGATGAAGTCCTGGTGACAAAGTGACTTGGGCCAACCCTTCAGTGTGTCCAAGTTGCAATGGACTGAATGCAACTCCAAAATTGATCTCTTGAAATATAATCCCCAATGTGATAATGTTTGGGGGCAGGGTTTTTGAGAGGTAATTATATCATGAGAGTGGGACAATTATAAATGGGATTAGTACCCTTCTGAAAGGTCCCAAAGAGCTCTACTCTCATTCTTTGTACCATGTGAGATATAAGAAGTTAGCAACCTGGATGAGAGCCTTTACCAGAACTCACCCATACTGGTAACCTAATTTCAGAATACCAGTCTCTGGAACCAGGAGGAAAAAATTTCTCTTGTTTATAAGTCCTTAACTCAAAGGTATCTTATTATATGTCAGCCTTAACTGACTGAAATGCAGGATATAAGGAAAGTGGGGATCTGATCAAACTTAAGTGTGAGTCATTCCCTTATCCCTAGGCAAACTGATGATGCAAGGACAGATGGAAAACACCCTCAGTGATGGACCTGTGGCCTTCTGGGCTGGCAGGGTTCTGAGGGCTGGGTTCTTAGATCATTTATGCCAGTATTTTACATAACCCTAAAAAAGTTATTTACTCTGTTAAGGACTTAGTTTCTGCTATTTGTAAAATGGGAGGAGCTGAGAAATTCAAAATTTCTAAGGTCCTTGAGACCTCGATGGGAGATGCTGAGCAGAGGTGTGACTGGCCAGTGAGCCCAAAGACCTGGTCTTGGGAGCCAGGCAGCCCAGGTTTGAGTCCTGGCCTACTACTTACTTGCTGTGTTTCCTTGGGCAAGTCTTTAACCTCCATAAGTGTCAGCTACTGTGTGTAAATGGAAGAATAAATTAATACATGGACTCCCTGAGTTGGGCCCATGAGTGTTCAATCGGTGTTGGCTTTTCCCTCGTTTAATAAATAAGAACCATACAGTCTCCTGGTGGCAGAACAAAACTATAGCTGCCTGATTCAGAGCCCAAAATTCTTTCTTCCACACAAACCATAAAATGGGAAGAAGTCAATCCCTCTCCCTTCCCCACCCAGTCCCACAGATAAAATGATCATCCACTCTGTTTATGTGACAGGTATTAATTCACGTAGATCCGTGTAATCATCACAACAGCTCTAGGAAGTACAGACTACCATTACCCCTCTTTTAGAGATAAAAGAAAGAAACATGTTTTGCAATACTAACTGGCCCAGGATTATTTAAGAAGTGCTAGAAATGGGTGTCAAACCCAAATTAATCCCACAGCAAGACTTGGAGTCAATCATACTGTAATTCCACCACACAGAAGACCATTTAGAGGGAAAAGAGAAAAGAAAGAAAGAAGAGAAAAATATGTGTGTGTGTATATATATATATATATATATATATACACACACACACACACACACACAAGATAGCTAAGTTAATTATACTACTAAATTCTATTGGTTTATTGAAAGGAACCGGCCCCACCTCCTGAGTTCCATTACCTTCTAATAATGCCATCAAATTGTGATCTCATTGGTGGATTAACCCATTGATGAAGTTAGAGCCTTTACTATCCAATCATTTCCCAAAAGCCATCAGCAGCCAAACCTTCAACATAATGTGTCCTTCGAGGGCAGGAGGTGTAATTAATGGAGAAATAAGATACTTCCATGACAGAGAACAACTGAAGAAATTCATGACCATCAAACCAACCCTACAAAGAATATTGAAAGATATTCTAGAAAGAAACCACCAAACAGGGCAAGCAATTAAACAGAGGGGAAAAGTAGAGAACCAACAGCAGGAAAATAATATGACAAAGATAAGCCAATACATATCAGGTATAACCATTAATGTGAATGGCGTCAATTCACCAACCAAAAGAAATAGACTGGCAGAGTGGATCAAGAAACAAAAACCAACTATATGCTGTACACAAGAAACACACTTAACTAAAAAGGAAATTCATAGAGTGAAAGTCAAAGGATGGAAAACAATACTCCATGTAACAGGAACGCAGAGAAAAGCAGGGATAGCTGTTCTGTTTCCAGACAATGTGAACTTCAAACCAAGAATGATCAAAAGAGATACAGAAATTCACTACATACTTGCTAGGGGAAAACTGCAAGAGAAAGAGATAACAGTCATAAAAAATATGCACCAAATAAGGGAGCACCCAACTATATAAGACAAATATTAATAGACATAAAAATCAAATAAGCAATAATAATCATAATGGGGGACCTTAGCACCCCATTGTCACAAAGAGAAAGATCAACTAGACCAAAAATCAGCAAAGAAATAACAGAACTGAACCAAACTTGTGAACAAATGGACTTAGTAGACCTTTACAGAGTATTTTGGATCCAAATACAACATAGCTGTTCCAGAGAGAGGACCCCCAAAAATTCTGGTTTACAATTTGAAACTACAGAATCCCATTAGTTCATTGGCTGAATGTCACACATGATGAGAAATTACATTGTGACTTCCCTGGATATTGCTTAGAAAATTAATCTGACTAATATTTCTCTGCATTTGCAAAAGCATGGATTTTAAAAATATGACTAGACACACACATATAAATACTGGAATGGAATGTAAGTTCCTTGAAAGTATGATTTTTTTCCCTTTGTCATTGTGAATTCCCACCGCCTAGAACTGTGTTGGAAACAAAGCACTCACTATTTGCTGAATGAATTAAAATAAAATATTTCCCAGAGATTATTCCACCTTAGTTTGTGGTAAACAAGTGTTGCAAAGTAATACGTGTTTTGCTTTGATCCATCTTACTATTAAGACAAATATATCTTTTTAAAGCAGCTATTAAAGAACACAATGTTGATGACAGTG